TATAAATGTTCATAGCAGCATTATTCCTAACAGTCCCCAAATAGAAACAATCCGTGTCCATCAACTGATGAATGCATAAACAATTTGTGGTATATTCATAAAGTGGAATATTATTCAGCCATAAAAAAGAATGAAGTACTGATACATTTGAAAACATGGATGAACCTCAAAAGCATTATACTAAGGGAAAGACACCAGAACACAAAAAGGCAGATATTTTATGTTCCCATTTCTATGACATGTCCAGAATAAGTAAATCTATAGTGATAGAAAGCAGGTTCCTTTGTTTCCAGGATATAGAGAGAAATGGAAGCATTCAGTGAGAATGGGATTTCTTTAAGTGTTGAGAAAAATATGCTAAAAGTAGATGGCAGTGATGATTGCGCAATTCCGTGAATACACAAAACAACAAAGAATTGAACAATTGAATTGTGTAAAATTTATGTTGTGTAAATTATATCTAAGTAAAACTGCTATAAAAATGTAGTGTTATAATCACCTAAAATAAAATTTATGTAGCAATTATGATATTCATAAAAAATAAGTGGATGCACTTATTCTTTCAGTGCATTAAGTCATTCAATTTTATGTTTAACAGCCATATTCTAATTTATAATACTATTTAGGACTGGCATTTTTATTACTATTTTAATAAATCTGAATATTTGAAGTAATACAATGAAAAAAATGGACAAAACATAACCTCAAAATTAAAATTTTAGAACAATGTATGGAGCATCTCTTAAATTTTCTGGTTCCTGACAAATGGTGACTAGATTTGACTGCTCGTTCCCTTTCCAAAACACAACCCTAGACCAACACTTCTCAGATGATAATATAAACAAATCTTCTGGAGATTTTCTTAAACTGTTTTATGTTTCAGTGGGTGTTGAGTAGGGCTGGAAATTCTGCATTTTCAATGAGCTTCCATTTGATGCAGGTACTGTTGATTCAGTTAGCTCATTTTGAGAAGTAAAACCTTAAAGGGAGTAGAGGAGAGAGTGGCCTATATCAAAGGAACTATCATAAAAACTTAGAAAATCTTTGACATACCTAAGGCTGTGGTAAACTATGGAGAGGGCTTAGCAGTAGCCTTGCATATAAAAGGCAAGATATAAGCATGGAATCAGAGATTATAGAAGCACTTGGAAGTCTTCTTTTTACCTCTTCCCAGCGTCGTCCTGGAGAATCACTGCCATCCTATTCTTACTGAGAGCCATGTTTGAGCAGTAAAGGCTCATGCCTACTGGAATTTGATATTAAAGCAGTTCCAAGTTGTGATGGGTTGAATAAAAATAGGTGCTCAGGGAGGTAGAGAACTGGAAAGAGCTTTGCTCCCATCCTTACAACAACAGCGAAAGCAAGACAAACCAAATTCTTGATTTTTCTTGATTTCTCCAGAAAGCTGAGGTTCCAGAACAATAAAGTGGCCCCAATGTAAGGAGGAACAGGCACTTATAGGAAGAAATGAAGTGATAGTAATGTTCTACTTGTGGTAGATACAGCTAGACACCGGTAAGAAGAGTTGAGTTACGGTGGTTTGCACATTAGTAGAGACCAAGCATAATGTAGCAAGAGATCATGAAGCCCCTGGGGCCACAATTATAGTAAGAATTTGCATCCTTTTGTATATTCATTCTCCTTAAACCTCCCTGGTTGCTCACAGAAATGACTGAAGTAAGTCTGGAGAACATGTCCGCCTTAGTGAAGACATGGAATAAGGGCAAGCAATTTGCCCAGACTCCTATATACCCTATAAAACAAATGTGTTAATCTGTGGGAAAGACAACACATAATGTCACCCTTAGGGCCCTGCTAAAAATTCACTGAAGTTGGAAAGAAAGAAAAAGAAGGAAAGAAAAAAGGAAGGAAAAAAGAAAGAAAAAAGAAAGAATGAACTTAAAAAAGAATAACAAGCCACCTCCACTTCTGAAAATGGGGCTGTAATTTCATATGACTGTCAAGTAGAAAATCCTTTGGGAATCTACAAAAACGTCCAAAAACTAGTATATAAATTTATCAAGGTCACAGGATGTATGATCAGAGCACAAAAATAATTTCTACTTTTATATACTGGCAGAAAACAGAATTTGAAATAAAAATAGACCATTTACCATAGCAAAAGAGAATGAAATACTTAAGTATAAACCTAACAAAATATGTTCAGGTTATACGACAGTACTTCAAAAAGTCATGGAAAGATTTGTATTGTCTTTCAATTCTATTTTTCCACAGACTTTTTGAAGTACCCTTGTATGTGCTATAAATGAAAAAACATTGATGAAAAAGATCAAAGAAAACTAAATATATAAAAAATATATCATGCACATGTTGTTGGAAGACTAAATATTAAGATATCAAAAATTAATCTATAGATTCAATGAAATCCTAATGAAAATCCCAACACATTGTTTTTGTAGTTATTAATAAGTTGACTTCAAAATGTACATACATGTATAAAGGCATTGTTACTACAATACAACAGCCAAAACAATTATGAAGTAGAAGAATCTTTGAAACTACAATAATTAAGACTGTGTGGTATTGGCAGAAGGACAGATATATAGATAGATGAAAGGAATAGAGAAGGAATAGATCCATATAAACACAATCAACAAATTTTTCTTTTACAAAAGTGCAAAAACAATTCAATCAAGGAAGAATAATATTTTCAACAAATAGTACTTGAACAATTGGAGGAACATATGCAAATAATGAACTTTGATCTATACCACGCACTTACACATCAAACTAAAATCATTTCAAAGTGGATCACAGAGTTAAAGGTAAAATAAAAAAACACAAAACTTCTAGAAGAAAACATAGAATAACATTAGTAAAACCTTGAGTTAAAGAGTTCTTAGATATAAGACTAGGGCATGATCCATAAAATAAAAATTAAAAAAAATAAAAATAATTAGACTGCCATATTAAAATTTTGCTTTGTGAAAGACACTGTTCAGAGAATGAAAAGGCAAGCTACTGACTGGGAGAAAATAGTTTTGAATCACATATCCCCAAAATTTGTTGTATGCAGAAAACATGAAGAACTCTCAAAACTCAATAAGAAAATAAACAACCCAATTTGAAAAACAATCAAAAGTTCTGAACAGACACTTAACTAAAAAAAGAGAGAGAGAGAGAGAGAGAGAGAGAGATGGGAAATAAGCATATGAAATTTGCTGAATACAATTACTATATGGTCCAGTCATCTCTTTCCTACCCAAGAGAAATTAAAATTGATGACCACAAACCAAATGACCTTCAGTCAGTGAATGGGTATACAATCCGTGGTATGTCCATACAATACAACTTAACAGTAAGAAGGAAAAAAAAAACAACTATTGATTCACACAATAGCATGGTTTCATTTTAAATGCATTTTACTAAGAGAAAAAAAAGCAGACCCAAAAGACTACATGTTAATATTGTATGATTTCATTTTTATGGCATTCCGGGAGAGGTGAAATTATAGGGATGAAAAACACGCCATTACTTGCCAGAGGCTGACAGATGAGGGTAGATAAGGACAGATGACTACAGAGGTACAGCACATCAGAATTCGGGGAGTGATGAAACGTTTCTGTATGGATATGTGGTGGTGGATATATGAAAATGTATCCTTTAAATCCCTCTAAGTATTACTCCACAAAGAGTGCATGTTAGTGTATGTAATTAAAAAAAAAAAAAATCAGCCAAGATATGGAAGTAATCCAGGATAGAACGTAGGCTGTGACAAATGAGTTTCTCTGGATTACAGATGTTTGACAGCCTCAATGGTGGTAATGGGGAAGAAAAGAGCCAACTTATTAATTAAAAGAATGTTATGATTGCGTATTATAAAACTAAAGATGAAAAAAAAACTGTACACACACACCTTATTCTAGTTTCTCACAGGGACATGGATTTGCAATTATGAAAGCACATTATATGTAGACTAGTTGAACAAATAATTAAATATATTGTAGATGATAAGAGCCAGAATTTTCGCTGTTGACAAAAGAAGGGGGAAGATCAAAATGTAGCACTGGATTGCAGTTTTTGCTATGTGGTTATCTATCCATTGATTTCTAGTTGGGGGATATTTCATTGGTTGTTTTCTTGTTATGGGTGTGATCTTTCCTTAACAAGATGTTAAACTCCTTCAAGTAATCCTGGTGTGTGAAGTGACATACATGTCATAGACATCTTCTGTCAGTTTCCTCTTCACAAAAAAATGGGAATCAAGGGATTTGAGGGGATTTATGAAGATCCCTTGTTTATAGGCAAGAAATACATTGTCTCAAACAATAAAGAAGCTAGACCCTTTTGGAAACTTTTTAAGAAAGGGAATGTCATATTAACAGCAATTATTTCCACTGGTTAAATCGACCTTCACCCAATATGGGCCAATATTTCAGGTATTCACTTAATATTCAGATACTTTTACTTTTTGTTCCAGTCTCAGCATAGTACTATTTCTGTAAATGAGGATTATTTTTATTACTTCTCCATCTTATATTTTCTTTTATATGTCTATTTTGGTTTCTTTAAGCCATAAATCTTCAACCCCTTCCATATAGTGACTATGTGGAGGAATTTCTGCAACAAATACGGAAACCGGCACTAAAACTCTACATTACCAGTAACCACATGCCTTTTGAGACTCCTTACACATGTTGATGATCATCGATCAGACATTTGAGCCTCAAGATACTCAACAGAATGAGCAATGTTCAAATATTGGATTTGTCTTCCTTTACTACATGGTAGTGTAGTTTTCAAAGTGGTTCACATAGAAATAAAGGAGATAGCTTGCAGTGGCTTATAAAGCCATGCAGACATCTTTCATAGTGTTAAACTCCTGAGGTTTAAAATTAGTTTTTATTTTGTGAAATAATATGCTTTTTTATTTTTCAAGCAGAGACAAAATTTTCTTACCTATTGTGCAAATTTCCATAAGATACCTTTAAACAAAGCAATACTATTGTTATATTTACTTTGCCTCTTTTATGAAACAGGTGCTATTCCCTGTGAGAGATGGATAGTAAATTTTGACAAAGACCTATTAGATGGCCTTGTTTTTGCAACACAGTTGGGAGCTTATTGCCCGTTTTTGGTAAGAGTCATTTTTATGCACAATGATCTTCTATCATTTGAAATAACTTAGTGATTAAAATTTGACGTACATTTTCTGAAAAATGATCTCTTTAAATGTCTTAATTTTAAGTCAGACACCTGAAACTGAATGGCTAGCAATGCCTTTTTGCTTATTCTCGCATTTTTATTGCAATAATCAATTAATGACAAATGTTAATATCTAAATGATTTTTTGCTGAATAACAGAGAACACTTAAAAAGGAGAAATTTTTATTCCATTACCAAAAGGTTTGATTGTTGTCTTTTCCAGATAGAGTCTCATTTTGTAAATATGTACACACAACCAAAAAGTCCTGAACAGTATCTCCACAATTCCCTGATTATTGTAAATAGTCTTCGTGAAATTGGTTTCAACATGGGCATACAGGTGGGTGCCATTACATCACAAATTCTATAAACATTTTATGAGTTTCTTTTGTTAGTTTAATCCTTTATAACATTGATTTGTTTATAAATTTTATTTATATATTTATTTTTATTGGCATATTCATTATTGCAAATCATAATTTTTCTTTATGCCCCTTATCCTACTTATCACTCCTCAACCCCCTTTCCTCCCCTGACCCATCCATAGTATCCTTAGGATTGTTCTCTCATTTTGAAAGTTCAAGGTATTATTGTGGTCTTTCTTATTTTCTTTCTTTTTTTCTTTCTTTCCTTCCTTCTTTATTTCCTTCCTTCCTGGCACCCACTTACGAGTGAGGACATGTGGTATTTCTCTTTCTGTATCTGGCTTATTTCACTTAACATAATTTTCTCCAGGCTCATTCATGTTGCTGGAAATGGCAGAATTTCATTCCTTTTTATGGCTGAGTAGTATTCCATTGAATATATACCACATTTTCCTTATCCAGTTGTCTGTCGATAAACATTTAGGCTGGTTCCATAGTCTGGCAATTGTAAATAGAGCTGTGATGAACATGGGAGTTGCAGATGTCCATTCAACATGATGATTTTCAATCCTTTGAATATATACCCACCACTGGAATGCTGGATTGTATAGCAGTTCTATCTGTAGTTGTTTGAGGAAGCTCCTTACCATTTTCCATAATGGCTTCACCAATTTACAGTCCCACCAACAATGTAGAAGAGTTCACTTTCCCCCACATCCTCACCAGCATTTGTTATTCTCAGTCTTTTTAATAATGGCCAGTCTAACTGGGGGGAGATGTTATCTCAGTGTGGTATTGATTTCCATTTCCCTGATGCTGAGTGATGTTGAGCATTTTTTTCATGTATCTATGGGCCATTTGTATGTCTTCCTTTGAAAAATGTTTATTCCTCACCTTTGCCATTTAATTGGGTTATTTATTTTTGGGGGGTTTGTTTGTTTGTTTGTTTGTTTGTTTGTTTTACTATATAGTTGTTTTAGTTCCTTATATACTCTGGATATTAATCCTTATCAGATGTATAGTTTGCAAATATTTTCTCCCACTCTGTAGGTTGTCTTTTCACTCTGTTGATTGTTTCCTTTGCTGCACAGGAGCTTTTTAGTTTTATATAATCCCATTTACTGACTTTTTCTTTTGTTGCTTGTGCTTTTGAGAACTTATTCATGAAGTCTTTGCCCAGTTCTACTTCCTGTGGGGATTTCCCTACATTTTATTTTAGTGGTTTTATGGTTTGGGGTCTTATATTTAAGTCTTTAACCCATTTTGAGTTGATTTTGGTATTTGGTGAGAGGTACAGGTCCAGTTTCATTCTTCTGCTTATGGATGTCCAATTTTCTCAGCACCATTTATTGAAGAGGCTGTCTTTTCCCCAATGTATGTTCTTGTTGTCTTTGTCAAAGATCATTTGACTGTAAGTATATGGGTTGATTACAGAGTTTTCTTTTCTGTTCCATTGATCTGAGTATCCATTTTTATGCTAGTACCATGCTATTTTGGTTACAATAGCTTTGCAATATAATATATCAGGTAGTGTTATGCATCTGGCTTTATTCATTTTTTTGCTCAGGATTTCTTTGGCTATTCAGGGTCTTTTGTTGTTCCATATGAATGTTAGGATTGTTTTTTCTCTTTCTGTGAAGAATGTCATTGGTATTTTGATGGGGATTGCATTGAATCTATAGATTGTTTGGGTAGAATAAACATTTCATCATATTAGTTCTTCCAATCCAAGAGCATGATATGTCTTTCCATCTTTTTGTGTCCTCTTTAATTTCTTTCAGTTGTGTATTGTAGTTCTCATTGTAGAGATATTTCACTTCCTTGGATAAATTGACTCCCAAGTATTTTATTTTGTTGATGACTGTTGTAAATCAGCTTGCTTTTTAAATTTCTTTTACTGCTGGTTTGTTATTGGTGTATAAAATGCCATTTACTGATTTGGGGGTGTTGATTTTGTATCCTACAATGTTACTGAAATTGTTAGTCAGCTCTGAGAGTTTTCTGGTAAAGTCCTTAAGTTTTTCTATATATATATAGGATCATGTCATCTGCAAAAAGGGACAGTTTGACTTTATTGTTTCTAATCTAAATGCCCTTTATTTCTTTCTCTTGCCTGATTGCTCTGGCTAGTGCCTCCAATAGAGAAGGAGGAAGGAGGAGGGGTGCAGTTGAGGCCTGTGGCACCCCCCTCATTCCTGCAAGGGAGACCAGGGGGCTTCCAGCATGGTCATTGCTGGGAAGGTTGCAGGCATGGGGGGTTGTGGCAGAGGCCTGAGGCCCCCCACCACCCTGGTTCGGGAGAGCCTGGTGCACTTCCTGCAGTGGCTCAGTGTTCATGGCTGGTTTGGTTGTGGGTGTCATGGAGGTGTGGCTGAGTTCTGATGCCCCCCCCATTGTCCCAGCTCAGGAGAGCCCAGCTGTTTCCTGTGGCAGTTCAGTGGTCATCACCAGGCTGATTGAGGGCATTGGGGACATGGCTGAGGCCCCCAGCCCTCCCCCCTCTATGGCTTGGTAGCCCAGGGGATTTCTGGTCCTTCTAGGTTTTATAGATGTTCTTTGGTGTTCTGAGACCTTTCCTAGATAATACCAAACTTTGTCTCTGGTCTGTGTGTATTTTGTTTTTTCTTTCAGTTCTGTGTTGGATTATTGACTGTTCCTACCATTTAAACTCTGCACTGGAACTAATTTGTTGTCCTTTGGTTACTAATAAAATGGGGGGACTTCCTGTGGGGACCAGCACTTGAGCTCTGTGCTGGAGCTAAATTGTTGTTTTGCTGCTGATTCTCTGGGGAAGGCTTTTTGTGCAGCTGGGGTTTTAATGGTTGACATTATAGGTACTTCCATCTCTCATGAGATCTAGTATACCTGGCTTGTGTAAAAACTCTGGTCTGGGCCTGAGTCTTTTCAGCAAACTGCACCCCCTGAAGTTCTATATTCCTGACCAGTCTCCACTGAATGGACCTACGCTAATTGGAGAGCAGATCAGCTGTCCCTGCTATGCCCCAGTGTTCTCAATGTGGGCCCACCTCCCGCATCACCTGCACTCCAAACACTTCCCATGGGGCAGGCCCTGCGCCGGTCCCTTGCAATGACTCATGGGACTCTGAGTGGCTCCTTTTTTTCACTTGTTGTGGCTTGTAGATCATATGTGGGTCCACAAGAACTCTGTTAGTAGTCTTGCTATCCTGGGAGCCACCAAGGCCCTTTTCTTCCCTGCTGCCTCCAAGTAACTTCCTCTGAAGGGAACAGATGCAGCTTTTGCCAGCTCCTGCTCTGTGCACTCACCATCCTTGAAGTGGCTGGGACTCAAAATGGTCAGAGTGGTTCCTTCTTTCTTTCATCATGGTTTCTACTGTCTTCATGCACTCCTAGGTCTCTCCTCTACTCCTGAGCTCTAGTGGCCTCAGCTTGGCTGTTGTCGCTTTTTAATAGTTGTAAATTGGTTGTTTTGTGGGAGAGAGTGATGCTGGCAACTGTCTATTCCACCATCTTGACCAGAACTCCAACTCTAATTTTTACGGAGTTTTTGAGGCTGTAAAGTCAGTGTTCTACTTAGAATTTTTATAATCCATTTTTTAACACTTAGGTCAAGCTTTTCTGATTCAGATCAATATTCTGTTTGATCTACCTTCCTTTGAGTGTCATTGTCAATCACAAACATTTAAAAATGTTTAAAGTAGTTCAATAATTGGTGTACTATGCTTTTTCTCTTTTTATATATTTTATCCATATATCCTCTAATTTAGATTTCTCTTCTTTGAAACTAGGCTACTGATATCTGTGATGCAAATCCAATCTTGATGCTTATGCTATGTGTCTACATGTATGAAAGGCTCCCTACATACCTCCCCAAGAAGGTGGTGCCCTTTCATTGTACTCTACATGACACTGTGCTGAGACAGGTAAGGCTATCTTTGGGGCCAACATATGCATGGAGTTAAACACTTGAGAGAGGTTTTAGATATTTCTCACCCCAAAATGAGCAGCAAGTATCTACATGATATGATTTTATTAAAATTGAATAAGCCTTATCAAATGTTGCTCCTTCTAAGCCAAAGTTCTAGAGGAGTGAAAGGAATAATTTTTCCTTGATAATAATCACCACCTGCAACGAAATGATGACTCCTCCTTCTTTATTCCCATTTTATACAAAATAGTATTATTCCATGTAAAAGTTAATTTACTACTTTGGTAAGATTCATGTTTATTCCTTTTCCTCAGGCTGTTTTATGTATCCCTCCTTATGTTTAATTGGGGAGGGGAATGATTTTATACGTTTGTTGCAAAACTTATCTGTACTTGGTCTCCAAAAGCTATATCTTGGTGATCTTTGATCTGTCATTGTAACCTCTTTGAGAAAATAACTGTGTAGGCTCCATGATGTTGTGTGTGAGTGATGGTTGGTAAAGATTTAATTAAAAATTGGGAAAAACTCAGGTTCTTGTCTCAAAGTCTAGAGGCCACAACTTAGGGAAAGAAAAGGAAAGCCTTTCCTTCTAATTTTTTGTTAATAAATATTAAGCTACAATCCCTTTTATTTAATATTATCTTCTTCCTTTTTTGTCATAAAAAATGATATAAAACCCTGAAAAATTTTTTCAACACTACTTACTGTGATAATTTCCTAACTGCAATGATTTTCAAGGGTTTGGGGTTCTAATTAGACTTGAGCTATAATTGTATTGGAGAAGACTCTGCAGGAGATAGGAGGACTCTGAATTAGGTTAAACAGTGATTTATTATAGTTAACTATTACTATCAGTTCTCTAATTCTGTCCACATGTTTGATTGTATTTCTTTACACCATCCAATTTTTACCACTTTAAAAAAGTAGTTAATATTAACACTAGCCAATGTTTAAACATAAATTGTAATTATGATGTTAAAAACTAAATTAAAGCACATTTAAATGGAAACATGATTTCTTTCCCTATTTTGTCTCTTTACTGAAATTAATGTTCATGCCTTAAGATTATAGATGAAGTGATGCAGTTATACTTATCTATTATTTTCATAAATGTAAGATGAGTTTTTGAAGGAAAACTACAAATTAAATATAAATACAATAGGAAACTTAAATTAGAACAAGCATTGATTTTAACTTTCATTTAAGAAAATCAGTGATTTGTTAATTGCTAACTGCAAATCTTTGTCATCGTTTGCCCTATGATTCAACACCATGAATGGCAGTGCCTAAGATATAGAATGTCATTCTTACCAACCCTAGCAACCCTCCAGAATTGAAAAATTCTAGTAGAATTGAAAAAGTATTTCCATAGCTATGGGTCAGTAATAAAAACATAGAATGCTGGAATCAAAGAAAAAAAAATTAGCGATCAGTAAAAAAACAGTGATTTTCTAAGACATTTAAAAGAAATCAAAATATTTTTTTAATACAAAATTTACACAGAAACACAACAGTTAAAGGATGGCTGTCATTGTAAAAGGGGAATGTAGACTCCAAAATTTTCTTTCCTTCTCTTGAACAGCTGTTCCTTCTCCCTATCTAATCCTCATCACCCCTGCATGAAATTCTAGAGTTGGGTAGAATAGTCTGGCCACAGATGAGCCCAATGCTTTTGTGTCATGTATAGGATATGACATAATGAGAATGAGTGGCTTCCTTAAGTTCGCAGGGCTGGTTATGGAAGTTCCAGAACTAAAAATCAGTAACAGTTCACAATGAGTCTACTATGATTTTCAACACTTCCTTCTAAAACAATGGAAATTAGCTTTCTGGGACTTAAAATCACTATGTTAACAAATATTTGAAATACATACATACATATGTAAATACATATATGCCTACATATATACATTAGAGTGGTCTTACCCACATTATAACTCTCGGTAGATGAGCAACATGGGGCCCTCAAATCCTTCAAGAAACTGAAGGCACACACTCTTCAGCAACAATACACTTAGTCTAGTAGTTACAGAAGTTCTCACTGAACTCGGAAAGTGGTTAATTTAATCTTTCACCAAATCTTCACTATATCCCTTATGAGTCACAATAACCACACATACTGCTGCTTTTTCACTCTTCAAATATCGGTGACTATAGTTCCTGGACTTAATTGCAGTCACCTTTTCTTCATTCTTATTTAGCCAATCATCTGTTTTCCCAAGTCCTCTTTCCTCTGAGTTAGTATTTTCCGTGATACCCTTGTGTCTTGTTAATGAGAAAATTATTTATGGCCTTTTTTAAAATGATAAGGCAGACTTTATTCAGGACTATTATGATGGATATGTAGACTACTGCAATGCGTTTTTGCAATCAAGGAGAGAAATTGAGCTCAACTCCAAATACAATAAGGAAAAGTAGGAATTTATAGCCAAGGAGCAGAGTGGGAGGTCAGAGAATGGAAAATTTCTAATCTAAGAGGAAATTTTAGGGGTAAGGGGGTGTTCTAGCTAAACTAACCTAACAAGGTTCATTCTGAAGGCAGGCCAGAGTGGTCAGACATCACCTGGGGGGATGGGGGGGAATGAGGAATTTGGTCAGATATCGAGAGTAATCAAATGTCAAAGGTGAGGGATTCGGGATAAAATGACTTAGCAGGATTCTTCCTGAAACTGGGCTCTTGAGAACATGACCAAAGATGGGGTCTAGTTGAAAATGAGTTCAGAGGAGCCTAACTAGAGTTTGGCCAAGGAGAAAATCTTGGTCTTCCTAATATATTTTATTGAATCCCCATTATATTCTATATACACACCTTCTGACTCACATCTTTCAAGAAATATTCTCTCTTGTAATGAAGGAACACATTTTCTAAACTACTGCTTCTAGAAACCAGACCACCATCCTTTCCAGCCTGGAGCTATGTATTTAAATATACACTCCTTATAATACTTTCTCCACTGAGCAGAGTATCCTTTTTGTAAACTGTATTATGTTAGTTGTCTGTTAAAAATGCTTCAGTGGTTTCCCTTTGCAATAAAAAGAAAATCCAAGTTGCTAATTTTTGTCTTCAAATCTGTGCACCCGTCATTTCCTTCTCTCTGCCCACTTCAGCTAAACTCTCTCTCTTTCCATATATATGTGTGTGTATTTGTGTGTATATATAATTTACTAACTTTAATTAAAAAGTCTAACGTTCTCTCCCGTCAGTGTACATTAAGAATACATATTTTCATATTTAAAATGTATAATTATCTTTGATTAAAATAATAAATGATGTAGCTATACATTTTTTAAATTCATGATTTTATTTATATCCTCTTCTACTTCATAGATTCTACTGAAAAATTCAAGCTTGAAAAACTTAGTGTATAACGCTACAATTGTTGGAAGAGATGCCGCTGACTTCTCCCTTTCCCAGACAGGGAGTGTTGTGACAATTTCTCCAAAGTAACTATTTTTTAAAATTTTACTTTATTGAACATCAACCTTAGAGATTTAATAGGTATTATAATTATAAAAAATTGACTTGGATTTTTTAACTTATAGATATATGGTGAAAAGCTCATACTCAGACATAGTCATAGATAAAATATTCATGTTTCTGGGATTCCCCACCTACTTTGCTAGAACAATTCTAAAAACATAAAACAGCTGATTTTTATGGCTTTATTTAATTTTAATTTATTTTGCATGCATATGGGCCATAGAGATGAGACAATAAGCTGTTTGTTTATGTACTACAGTTCTGTTCCCTGTAGGAAAGTGAAACCAATGCATGCTAAAATTTTATATTTACATTTAATTAAGTATATAATTAATTTTATGTATGTATACTCATGAGTATACATATATAATTATGTAATATATATTATGCTATGATAGTTGTTTCTGATTATAAAAATCTGTGCTCATTATTGAAAATTTAAAAAATATGAAAGTATGAAGAACAAAAAAAGCAAAAGGTTCATAATCCTGTCTCAAAGAAGCCCAGTATAGATGAATAGATAGAGATATAAAATATATGCATGCATATATACTCTCAAAGTGTGGTAATATTTTATAAAGTCTCCTTTTTATCTAATTGTGTTCTCATGATACTTTAATGTTTCTACTATCACACTCTCAAAAATGAAATATAAAAGAAATCCTTAGAGAACAGTCTTGAAAAATTAAATCTGAGCATGAGTTTTCCCAGATCAACAAATCATGTTTGATATGCCAGCAGATGCTAATGACAGCAAAGACTAGTATTAAATAATACAAGGACAACCTGAGAACATCCATGTCAGTACCACAGGAGATGACTAATTTGATAGCCACTAACAAACTTTAACAAGTCTGGAATTTTAGTTGTTACTTTTTCATTCAATTATGTTTACCCAGTCTAAAGTGACAGATTATAACTACTGATTATCTTTTCGGTTTTTAGCTTTATATTAACCCGAGTAACTTTTCAAACTGTAGCCTTTATTTCTGCACTAGTATATCAAACACAAAAATAGTAGAAAATGGGGGCCATTTTAAATAGTATCTAAAATATTCTGGAGCCCAGTTTCAATGGGGCCCTCGTTTTGTGTCATTAGCCTGTGTTAGTTTTCTTCAGTTACTGCTCCATGCTAAAGGAATATATATGATTTATAAAATCTGAATATTTATGATTGTGACTATATCCAGACTAAGTTAAATCTGAGGGAAAATAATTCTCTGCTCATCCACTTCTTTACTGTAAATCAAATCCCAGAATAAAACACATTGTAAAAAGACCTCACCCAGTCTGTTAGGGAACATAACTGTGGTAATACAAGTTCGTTTGGACATTTCCACAGAACCTTTTCTCTTGTTGAAAACTTGAGAGCTATTCTCCATCTTTCAGGTAGAATGACGCCAGTGAAAAGGATTAAATTTCCCTCCCTCCTTCTTTCACTCATAGACCTAACAGTTTGTTCCAGTATGTCAAATCTCTCATGTGGAAATTCTCCTTAATAATCACACAAAACTTCTGATATTTTAGCTTAAGACCTGTTTTCCTGTTAATGAAATAAACATTTATTATTTTTATCACAAATGTAAACCTGTACATTGGTGAAAATTTGAGTTACAGAAAAGTATGAAGAGGAAAACAAAAATACGTAGAATCACATCAGACAAACACAATTTGTTAGTTCATTTCCTCCCAGTCTTTTTATATGCACACATAGGTGTTTATTATAATATATGTATAATTATGCATTTACATAATAAATATATTAATGTATATTAAACATTAGTATACTGGTGAAGTAGAGATTCAAACGCAGGCAATATAAATCCAGAGCTGGCACTCTTATTAAACTGTCACCTGGACGTGTGTGTGTGTGTGTGTGTGTGTGTGTCACATTCAATAACGCCCTTTGCATTCAATGCAATGTAACTTTGACTATTTGTAAGCAATGCTAAAGATCTATGGCATGTAAATGTGTCTTAGTCTGTTTGGGTTGCTATAACAAAATATCATAAATTGGGTAGCTTACAAAATAACAGACATCTACTGTCCTAGTTTTGTGCTGCTATAGCTGAGTACCAAAAACTGGGTCATTTATAAAAAACAAATTTATTTCTCATAGTTCTGAAGGCTGGAAAGTCCAAGATCAAGGCACAGCAGATTAATGGTCTGGTGAGGGCCCACTTCCTGGTTCATAGATGACACCTTCTTGCTCTGTTCTCACATGGTGGAAGGGGTGATGCAGCTCTCTGGGGCTCCTTTTATGAGGGCATTAATTTCATTCAGGAGGGCTTTGCCCTCATGACTTAATTACCTCAAAAGGCCCCACCTCATAATGCCATCGCCTTGAGGGTTAGAGTTTCAACATATGAATTTTGGGGGAATGCAAACATTCACACTATGTAAAATTGTACTACTTTTGCTTCTGCAGGAGATAGCTTGTGAAAATATATCACTTGGATGAACCTAACAGACTACCTGCCATTAATTTCTAAGCAATACGTTTTTTTCCTCTTTATTCACTATTGCATTATTTATGGTCTGTAGAAATATAGACAAATTTTAAAATATTGACTTCTTGAAGTTTTTAATACTTTTCAAGTGAGTATTAATTAAACACATATACATATATGTGTTCACACAATAATAATTCATATACATATTCATATTTTGATCATCTCGTACATGCACATATATCTTCTCATTTTTCCCTTAATTTTTAATGTTTTCTCAAAATTTAATTCACACATGCATTAATATCTTAATGCATGGGAGTTTAAAATGAAAAGCAAGCCCCTATATCCAGAGATCCCGTCCCTGAGCCACTTACTTTGAACACATTTAATTACAATTAATTTTAGTTAATCTAATGGTTACTTCTATAAATCTAAATAATCCATATATCTTTGCCACTATTTTTGTTATATCAACTTCAGAAATAATCTATTGACATTTAGATATAATATATGATGATTTAGCTCACCTACACCCTTAGATATGTCAACCTCCCCTCAAACATCCATCACCAGTCTTATATCCTATTTATTACTTTTCCTGGAGTAAAAATGTATTTTATCCAAATTTCTTAGACTATCAATATTCACAGTATCTTTTGACTCCTTTTTAAGCTGGGAAAATTGGTAAATTCTAGTGAAATGCATTCCTTTTCCTCTTATTTGGACTGATTGCAGAACTACTGAAGAGATGTCAATCTTGAATATTCTTTATTTCTCTTTACATGGAAACTAATATCTTTCTTTTTCTTAGTTTATTCACTTGTTTACTGAAGAAAATCCTTATGAAAGCTTCTACGAAAAGCATGGGAGGGTAAATTTTCCAAGGTTTTTCATTTCTAAGTATCTTTTTATACTGCCCCTACACTTGATTTATATTTTAGTTGATATATTATTTTAAGGTGAAAATATTAATCCTCATAACTCTGAAGAAAATTGCTCTACTGCCTTGTAGTATTTAGTATGTGTTATGAGAAAATCTACTATCAATCTGTTTTTCCCCACCTCTTGATGTTTTTAGGATCTTCCATCGTGATCTAGTATTGTCCAAAATGTATCAAGGGGGTCTATTTTATTCACTGTACTGGGTAACCAGTGAGTCCTTTAATTGTGAAGTTGTTTTTCATAAGCTCTGGAAAATTCCCTTAAATCATTTCTTTGATAATATTCTCTCCATTTTTGGTGCTGTTGTTTTCCAACCTTTAGTTGTTGAATAGTAAATCTGTTAGTTTGATCCTCTATAGGCCTATTCTATCACTAGTATTTTTCATTTTATTGCTTTTTTCTCTCTTTGTAATAAGACTTATTTTCCAATTGTTTCTTTTAAGATATTTACACACACACACACACACACACACACACACAGAGAAAGAGAGAAAGAGCACTTCCTTGTATTCAAGTACCCATATTTCATAGCATCCTGTTCTTAAATTGGGATACAGCAGTTTTATAAATGTCTCTGGCTTTTAAGTTTTCATCTGTTACCCAAATTATCTCTGTGTTCTGTGAGGTCAGTTGCTTTGTTTTCCTTGGTCTCAGTGTTTTATGTTGAAGGATTTACTCTAATGTTTTGTGATCCTTGGTTATCCATTCATGCATAATAAGGCAATAGAAAAGTAAATTATGATTCTGTATGTGCATAAGTTTGTCAAGTTGTAGCCTTCACTTTATGAAAAAACATTCTGCTTATATGCCTAATTGTCTGGCATCCTATAATGGCATTGGGGAAAGTGGAGTTGTCTGAACCCCATCCTGCCCTCTACGTGATGATAGCTTCCTCTAATTAGCTGCCTTTTTAAAATCCCTTTATTATAATTTCCATGAGATTCCTCCTAGGAATAAAGATGATGAATCTGGTTTTCAGATGCCATTGTAGTTTAGAAATTCTCCTACGTCATTTAACATTTAAATATTTGCGTTTTAATCCTACCGTGTACAAGCTCTATGATCCAGCCTCATTTTCCTTATTTGGAAAACATGGATCAGAATATTTACCCACGGTGTTGTTAGTAATAAATATAATTATGTAGGCGAAACATATAGTACTATAACTAGAACTTATAGGAAGCACTTAATAAGTACCCTCACCCAATTCAAAGTTCTGATAAGTAACAGATGAAAATATATCAACACTACTCATAAGTGTTTACAATCTAGCAGAATGCTAGACAAGCAAGTACATAATGAGGCTGTAATTTATTAAATGTTTCATTTGTGATGTGTATATAAAACTAGAGAAAAATGGGAAAGAAGCACCTGAGTGCTCCTGGGGATACCAAGGAAGGTTTACCAGAAGAGATAGTGCTTAATTCTGAATATATATGGAAATCATTTATGCACTTATCTGGATGCATTTTATTTTATAGACTTGACTACTGATATTAGGTGGCTCTGTAAGTATCTCTTAAGCTAGACTAAATAATTTCATAGCTTTTTTGCTTTTACCAATAGGA